TAAGGCCCCTTCCAAAATCTAAACCATTCTGTAATGTTTTTACAAGGAATTACATGAGGAATGCATATGACCTGAGCACATCGACAGAGCATGGTGTGATATTCAGCTGCCTAAATCCACTGCCTCAATCCTCTGCAGCAGGCAGAGCATGCCCTGCCCAGTCTCCAGCTCCTGAGAACACAGATCTCCTTGAAGCTTCTGTCCTACAACTGCTGATTTGCTCTCTGTATCGGTGAAATCTAAATCCTACCACAGATTCTGTTTTCACACTATTTCTGTTTGGGAGTAATGTAATCTTGCTCACAACTAGCAATGATACGTAGCACAAGCATCACAGAACCAGTACAGTGGACACAGTGATTCACGAGTGGCTCTTTGGAACTCTTACATAGACTGCTCATGAAAAGGAGATGAAAATACAGCAAAATATGCACAAGAAAATGCTAATTTTCTCACGTAGCTTTACCAAATCACCTCGGCCTTGATGTGCGTCAGACTCCTTTTTTCTCTCCTATGCCCCTTGTGATGAGAGGCTGACAGACACATTTAAATGTGGTGGTTTCCCACTTGGGCTAAATACTCACGAGGGATGAGCATTAGACCACCAGACATTATTTTACTTATTGCCCAAGAGAGCACTTAAGCTTATTTTTTGAACATTGAAGGGCTAATACACAGTTTAAACACAATTTTGATTATTGAAATGTTCTCTTTCACTTATTATTTTATACTGTTACTTATTTTGCCGTAAAACTTAAGTTCACATTTACCAAAGCACTTAGTCCACATTTTGTCACAATATACATGTACCCCTGAGAAACATGAATTTTGCTCTCTCCATACTAAAAACTGATCTTCAGAATCAAACGATCAATAGCACAAAAGGCTGAAGTACTGCACTGATGGAATGGCAAGTCTGTAAGTGGAACGTGACAACCCACTTCTAGACACTTCTGTCCAACATAGGAAGACGTAGGCATCACTGGAGATGCACAGGAGATGTCAGAGAGTCTGTCTCTGGCAGAGCATTGCTCCATTGTAACAGCCTGCTACCATGTGCATGCAGCAACATTTCTAACAGCGTCAAATAATGGGATTTGTGTTGGAGAACACACTTAGCTGTCCACAATTGTCACAAGCAGATTCCAAATGGAGATGAAGTGCAAGAAAACACAGTTAAAAATAGGTCAGTTTAGCCTCATGACATCAAAGTTTTTAATCACGAATATGATAAGGCACACCTGTGTTACAACTAAATGTAATGTGAGTTTATTACTTAAAATTTTGGCTTGGTTTCTACTTTCTACATTGCCAGCAAGAAGCTCTCTCTTGACAGATATCTCTGAGAATGCTTTCTTTTGTACAGTGTCGGTTACCTTCTCAATTATCAAGAGAAAGAATTCATCTGCTTCCTTAAAGTAGAGCCAGTGAGCCTGTCTAGTAATGGCCAATTATGAAAGGATTCACTTTTCACTCCATGATAAACTAGACATTTATGTCCTCATCATGATTATTCTTGCGAATAAAACATGCTGGGCAGCTCATGATGAATAGAAAAAATAGCAAAGAATTTGCTTTTTGTCCTCCAACATCTTCAGGATTCTTCTTTGATTTTCGTCCTTTATTTTTATTCAGCCAAACTCATACCTTAATGCAGCTGACAGATCGCAGATAATATTTCATAATCTCACACACTGGTAAAACGTGGAAATCAATATGAAAAAAAAAGTTCTGTGTCACCTAATAATCGTTACAAGCTTAGCCTCATTAAAACAATCATTACATTAAGGCTCGCAAGTTTCTCTCCCATCTCTTAGCCTATGGGGGGCTTCTGCTGGATTTTCTTTCCACTTACTTGCTTTAAGAAGCAAATAATTGTATCTCCTGTCTATTTTCTCCACTATTTTAAGATGCCTACTGAAGAGTTTCTTAAGATTTTGAGAGGTAATAAGAGAAGTGAACTGTGCCATTTGTCCACTTTAACCAGGTTTACAAGTCACCTTTTTCCTCCTGAAAGATTCAACAGGAATCACCAAGTCATACTACACTAATCCACATCCTAACATATTGACATTAATACTGCTGTTTGATTTTTTCAAGCATGGTTTGTTCAAGCTTGTATTTTACAGTATTGACTGAAATGGGGCAAATCATAATTGGTAGTCTAACAAAAATCCCAGATGTGACAGGTGTGAGATGCAATCACTTCAGTGTATATCGCATTCAGACACCATTCTGTGTATTTTGATGCGTTAAAATAACTGCCTTAATCTTTATGTGCAGCAGGATTTAATTGCCCAGTGGACATTTGGAATTTAAATTACCAAAAACAACTCTGCTCTCCAGACAGTGACATCTTTCCCAGAGGTTTGTTGAGGGAAGCTTGAATTTATGCTTAGGGCTTCCTTGGAGCCCTCCTAGTAAAGGTGCCCTAGGGACACTGTGAGTTTATTTTGCCATAACACGTGTGTGCATGTATGCAGAGGAAGCACCACTAGTTACAGGTAAGACAGGCAAATCAAATGGCAGCATCCCCCATCAGCTTTTATATTATCTGTCCTACTTTGTGCCAATTTCCTCTAGCTTCCCCAACACCTCTTGCTTTGCTGTTCTTCCTTAAGACATGGGATGGGGATTTGTCAAAGTCAATGAGCACTTTATTACAGTGAGAGTGCTCAGTAATGAACAATTCAGCAATTTAATGAGATTCTGTAGATCTGTCTCCAACCTGTCCATCAAGTTTCACTTCTATAAAGCACCCTGACACTAATCCTCTGGCATACCCAATCTTCACCCTGGGCTGAATATTAGATTCTTCCATGGTATATTGCATTACCACTATAACCTTAGCAAAAATGATGAACTTAACTACACTTGAGGCAATACAGTCGGTCTGATTTGATTTTCTTCTATTGGGTTGACTATGAGGGAATTACGTATTTACTAAGATAAAGCAAAACCAGTTTCTTATTGCTTTCTGAATGCCTAAATTGGTAAATATGTATGTATGTCTTTTAATTCATTCTAGAGACCTGGAATATTTGTAAATACATATTTATTCCCGGGTGTACAGACTGAATTAAAAGATGCACACGTTTTGCCTACAGCAGAAAACTAGTTTAAAAAATTCTTCATAACAGCATTAGTAACCTTTAGAGAGGCAATTATGATAACACTTAAATGGACAGTGTGGAGTTTGTTATCACTCAGAAAGCAGCGTATTACCTATGAGTATCTCTCCTCAATATGGTCCTGAGACAGAAACATAAGCTTTTCCTCACAGAGTGCCCACTGACTGGAGTGCACACAATTAAGAAAGCCATTTCTGAGTTCTTCCTGCAGGATAGGATAATGACACAAGATTTAAAAACCCAAATTCCAGAACTGTTTCAGCAGGTTGCACAGTGTACCTGGACACAACCCTGTGCATGCTTGTTCATTACAGAGCTGGCCTTAAATAATACCTGAATGGTTTTCTGCAGCTACTTTTCTGGCAAAAGTATCTACAAGCACATAGCCGGGAGATTTAAGTGAATCTACAGAAAAACAAAGCAAATCAGTCAATCAGACATGCCTCCTATACAAACTTGTACATCAAAACCCTTTATGAGAAACAGAATGTGGGCTAGGACTCCAGAGTATCCTGCCTAAAAACAAAACAAAACAAAACAACAACAACAACAACAAAAAAAAACATCACAGATAGTTTGCTGCAGTTTCTGTTGTACAGACATCCTCCAGAGATCTTCACAAGAAACACTCTAGCTCTATATTACTATCTGCAGAAAATATCTTCTTGAATACTCCATAAGCTAGCCTCAAAGTTTTGGAAAATGCTGTGTCAGTTATCAGTCTGAAGGATTAAGGTGCACCTGCACACCGTCTTTGTGGTTTGAAGAGCTTAACAATACACTTTCATTTTGTAAGAATACTTTCTTCCTGCATGAAACTATTCATCCGTGGAAGGTGAATTGCCCTACAAAGTGAACACACATTTTACACTTTGAGAAAACAATGGCATATTCATGAAATTGTATAGTTAAATAATCCAAAAGATAAGTAGATGAATAAGAGAGATTGAAATACAAATCAGTAGAAAGACTCTCAGTCTTCTCTGATAGACCAAGATAACCAGCTTCCTAAAAGAAAGCACAGATTTCTTTCAAGCAAATTATATTCTACCTTAAAATACCCTGAAATACTTCCCGTCTATAAAACAGCAAAAAGAAAACAGAAGAAGTGTTTGGGTAACAAACGTTGTAGAGATTAACTTCCACTATATCACAAGCTGCAATTTTTACAGACATCTCATAGGAATGTTTCCAGGGACATGTTTAGTTTTAGTTTTTGTATTTCTCTTTACGCGATAGATGTTTTTTCCCCTCATACTAGGGGTTGCAAGACAATGTTTTAATATTGTTAATATTCTATGGTTGGCAACCTGGTGCTTTTCTGGATCCAAGTTAATTTAAAGAAAATGTTTGCCATCAACAGTTTCTTGCTACAAAGCTTCCACCAAAGCCTCCACTCGTCTTTGAGTAGAGCAGTCCAGTTTCCTTCAGGCAAAGTCAGTTGCAGTAAAGGATTTCAAGCGCTAGCTGAAGTAATGCAGCTAAGCTTGCCTGAAGCAAACAGGACAGACTGCCGCAGCAGATTTGCTACCAGCCTTGTGGCACTAGCCCTACCAGAGATGATGACAATTGTGTCAGATGCATCAGCCATCTCTTCCCACCAGTCGAAGGTGAATCTGGAAGAAAATCTCTGGCCACATCCAAATAACACAAGTTAACCAATAAAATAAAGTTTTCTTTCAAACAAACTAATTGCATTCATGCAATACATTTTTTAAAATTAATTTTAAAATTTCCTGCAGTTGTTATTTGCAGCTTTTTCCTCAACATTTCTTCTCACTTGAGATTGCTTCAGGGATCCAAAACAACAATGCATTGCAATAGTTTAAGAGAGTATCACACATTCTGCTCGTTCACCACTCTTCTTACCTGCCAGATTTGTTCTTCACTGAGTGAAGTGAGTCTATCACTTTTAAAAACCTCTCGAAGGAGACAGTATGGGAGTGCCAGAACTTCTTCAGGATGACTCTTCAATAGCTCAGAGAGATGTTTTATTAAGAAGTCAACCACTGCATTCTCCAACAAAGTGAGGTTGAAGAGGTCCGCAAGCTTATACAGGTCCAAGTAATTAAAACTATTTAATTCCTAGATGGGTGAAGCAAACAAAATACGTCTCAGAAGAAAAAAAAAAAAAAAAAGAAAGAAAGAAAGAAAAACCCCAAGGTCTCAAATAAAGGCTGTTCTTTCGGAAGCTGAGGAAAAGAAGGTAATACAATTAACATAGCTTCATTCAAAACATATGTGCAAATGTTACCAGGGCATATGCAAATATATACCATACCAGTCATTTATATTACAACTGCAACAGTTACATATGCATACATGATCTGTAAGAAATACAGATTCATATATAAGATAATACACCGGCATGGTTTATAACAAAAGATCATAGGAGTTAAGAAGTGTATTTTTAACCGCAGTAGTTTGCTACAAAGCAATTGTTTGCTCATTATTTACCATTCAGATTGATCTAGAGCACCTGTGCAGTACAAATTTTAGTTCCATGAAATCTCACAAAATTTGAGATGGTGAGCTACGTTTTATTATGCATAAGCTTATCTTCAGTGAACAAATAGTCCTTTCTTTTTCAAACCAACGACAACAACCTATAGTGGATCTTGGCCTCCTGTTCTTTGACCCCTTTCTTCTCACAGCAGCAAGCCTGCAGAGACAAAAGCTACAGACTGGGCAAGATGTTTTCTTCATCCTCGTACCAGGTAATTTACATTTACAGACTAATATTTCTGTCTTGGCACCCCCTGTAAATTAGTGTCAGCTGCTCTAGACCACAGGCTCTTCAGAATTCACCCAGGCTGGAGAAAAGCACTTAGGCCATTTGGTAAAAAAGCTTGTTTATCCAGTCTCTCTGTTCTTGCTGTATGCTCACATGTCTCTTCTTCTCCCCTTCACAGCCTCAGTTTTCACCTTCCAATTTCCTGCATTGCTCCCTCTCAGCAGCCTTCTCCTTGACCAGCTCCAGGTGTGAAAGTGACAAGAACTGTTGTCAGTTCCACTCCACGGGTTCGTTAACACTGGGACTAGAGCAGGGAAGAGAAACAGACTGAATTAAGGCAATTTCACTTTCGCTGCTCTGCTGGATGGGATGGCAGAACCAAATGAAACTGACAAGAAATCTTGTAAATGTCAAATGAGCTGCACGGCTGGCAGATCGAGCAGAGCAACAGGGAAGATGGGAAAGTGCGAAGAGGGTTTTTTTGGAAGGTTTTATGGGCTACATCTCGAACGTGTGAATTGGGTGGCTGTCCCAATGACTGTGGAGCTGTTTATGCATATGCAATGGAGAGTGAAGAAAGAATTTTTTTCACCTGCTTGGAGGAGTCAGTGCTGGAGAAAACTGAATCAAATTCCTTCAGAGGTGCCTATTTGCTGCATTACCTCCCAACCTGAACACCCAGCTTCACTGGCAGGGATGTAGATTAAAGACAAATCCCATTCATTATCTACTTAAACTGTTGGATAGAAGCTTCTCTTCCTTTTCTTGAAAGAACAAAGAGAAGGTGTTTAAATTGTCAGAATAAGCACTAACAGCCATCAGCCCCAAAGACTGAAATTCTGCACAGCTCCATAATGTCACCTGCTCTTCACGTTAACATAGAGGAGGCAAGGATAAATCTCCAATGGCTGCAGAAAAACAAAGAGAAAGGAAGGAATTTTATATGAAAAGTATCTGGTCAATGTGCTTCCTCCATGATTTAATATCTGCAGATCACAGATGGTTCCTCACAGCACCATGCAGCGGTGGCACCAACATCACACAGCATAATCAAAGTACATCTCCCAGCATTTAACAGACAGCAACCATGCTGGTTAGGAAGAATATTTGCTCAAAAAGCCCCTTGATTGAATGAACGACAAACATTCTGAAAGAAATTTAGAACAACTTGATGTATTACACTGAGGTCTTTTGTCAACAGCTATTTCTGGGGAGGATAAAAATAAAAACATAATCAGGAATTAGGATCTGAGGAATAACATCCCAACTCAGTGGGACAGATGGTTTAAAAACAGACTTCAGAAGAGGGCAATACTAGAGATAGCAGAATATTTTCTTACTATTACAGACTAATGTGGCACACAAACACAATTTTTCCCTAAAAAAAATCTTCACATTTTCAGTGAAATCTGGAAAACACTGTTACACCTGAATTTTTTGTCTTGGTATTTCTGATGATCCCTCAGGCTCCTCCACCCCCTCAGAATGACATCAACTGAAGTTTTTGATGAAAGCTGTCATACAGCAGAAAGCTTGAACTCTGGATAAAAAACAAACTCTCATCAGATCTTTGTTTATAATATTATTTATTTATTATGGGTTTTATTTGTTTACTTATTTTTATTGGTTGGCTGGCAGATTTTCGATGCTTTGTCTAACACAGTGTGTTAGTGACCTGCTGGACTCATGGTTTACTGCTTGATGAATATTGCAAGTACGTTTTGTCAAAGCTGGTCTTGGCCTGTAATCAAAAACACATATTTGTGTTTTTCATAAAGTCTGAATTGATCCATGGGTTTGTATTTCACAGTATAAGCAGCAGTGCATTAGCTTTTACAAATGAAAATTATTAGAACATCATACCAATTTTCCAATCAAAATTATACAGTACTGTATACTGCTGTCTCTGTGATTATATCAGAAGGCAAAAAAAGTCATGCTGAGACTGCAAGATGTATCCTACAGATCAGATAACCAAGCTCTTGATGTCTGGTAAGACTTTCAAGCATATCAGACTGAAATGCACTATGCAAGTTAGTTGCAAAAAAAATACAGCTTATCTTCTGGCTTTTTTTTTTTTAAAAAAAAAAAAAAAAAAAGGAACCATCAAAGCAATCACTTAACTTAGACTGACTAGCTTCTGATGAACATGTTTTCAAGCTAAACTCTTAACTGAATGAAAAATGTGTTAAATAAATGAAAAATGAAACAGGTTACTAAATAGAAAATTTACTCCTGGTTATAAGTAAGAGTTACGTCTGTTTCTGGTTTCCATCCATTTTATTATATTGTGCTAAAGTTGTGCAAATCTTTCTAAATCTTTCTTCTGGAACTGTATCATAGTATATGTACTTAAAGAAAAAAAAAAAAAACACAAGAAAAGGTCATTGTAGCTTTGCATCTGGTTTATAAAAACTTTTAAATGTAAGCCACTTATTTTTTTTGAAGCAAAGCATGACATAGAAACACAAGCAAAACTGTCACAAAAAGTTGAAAAGAATTAGGGAAAGGTAGCAATCTCCTCTCTTCTAATGTAACATATTTTACACTGATGAACTGATGAAACATTCAGACAAGAAAATATGCATAAGATAATTAAAAAAAAAAAAAAAACACAACACCTTAAGCTAACAGTTGAAATGGTTCTAAAATCTCAGAATGAAGTCAAACTAATTCAACCAGTTCGAGGAAAGAGGGGATCCAGAAACAGACATAACACATATCAACTCTTGTCTATACGGCAAGTGCTGGTGGAAGGGTTTTGGTTTTTATGTGTAACTTTCCGTGATGACTGTAACCTATTAGGTGGATCCCATTCCTCCCTGTCCATAAAAGGGCAATTTTTGGTAGCAGTCAGGGTAACTAAATGAGACAGGCTTTAAACTGAAGGACTTGGGGGATTGGATCCAAAATGGTAATGTTCACACCATTGCAACCAACTGGGGAATAAGCCATGACAACCAGATCAATGACTGACATTCCTTCACTGCCTTCCATGACATGAGTCAGAAGGCCAGTCACTTCAAGTCTATGTATAGCTATGTGGAATCTTCAAACATCCCACTGGGGAAACAATATCCTGAATAAACATAAAGAATTAGAGATCTGTGTGTGATTGCAGCCATGATCTCACTGCAACCATGGAGACATGGTAGGACAGTTCATGGCTGGAATGCTATAATGGATTGCTACATACTAAGAAACACAGACCATCAAAGCAAGCCAGTGGTATTCTCTTTATGTGAGAGAACAACTGGAAAGTGTGGAGCTCTGCCTAAAGAAAGATGAGGAATGAATGGAGAGCTTATGAGTGAGAATTAAGGTTAACATGAGTGACATAGTTGTGGGTATTTACAGCAGGTTGCCTGATCAGGAGGAGAAAGTTGATGAAGTCTTCTACGGACACTTGAAAGCATCCTCATGATCACAGGCACTGGTTCTCATGGGGGACTTCAAAAAAAAAGATAATTTTCTAGCACATGTGGTAGTGGAGCCAACAGGGAGAAGTGTGTTGCTGGACCTTGTTCTTACAAGGAAGGAACAAGCGGGCTAGGAATGCGAAGGTTGGGGACAGCCAGTGACCATGAGATAGCAGAGTTTGGGCTTGTAGAAGAAATGAGGCAATAAGTAGGACCGCAACCCTGGATTTCAGGAGAACCAACTCTGACCTCTTCAAGGACCTACTTGGAGGTGCCCCATGGGTTAGGTCTTTGGCAAGTAAGAGGGCCCAAGAGAACTGGTTGACATTCAAGCATCACTCCTTCCAAATTCAAGATTGATGGATTCCTAAGAGTAAGAAATCAGGCAAAAGCCAACTGTATGCTGTGATGCATTATAAAGAATACGGCCAGCAGGTCAAAGGAGGTACACCTCTTCCTCTGCCCTGGTGAGGCCTGGACGACTGTGTCCAGTTCTGGGCTACTCAATACCAGAAAAAGACAGGGAACTTCTAGAGAGAGCCCAGTGGAGGGCTACAAAGATGATTAAAGTCCTGGAGGAAGGGCTGAGAGACCTGGGACAGTTGAGCTTGGAGAAGAGAAATAGAGGGGATTTTATCAATGTTCATAAATACCCTTTGGGTGGGGATCAAGTGGATGGGCCAGGCTCTTTCCAGTGACTCTGAGCAATAGAACAAGGGGCAACAGGAACAAACTGGAACACAAAAAGTTCCATACAAACATGAGGAAAATTTTTCTTTATTTTGAGGGTTACTTAGCATGGAAATAAGCTGCCCAGAGAGGTTGTGGAGTCTCCTTCTCCAGAGACGTTCAAAACTCTCCTAGACACTTTCTCACGTAACCTATTCCAGGGAACCTGCTTTAGCAGATAGATTGGATTAGATTCTCTCCAG